CTTAAATTAAGTGTATTTACCCTTAATTTTAACAGGTAAATGAGATAATTTTACTCTTAAAATAAGATAATTAGATAATATTCACTTAAAATAAGACAATGCAATTGTGTTTTCTTATTTTAAGTGTAAATTGTCTTGTTCCATTGGCAAAATGTCTCTTTTATCTCTTCAATTCAAGAACATTTGCACTTATTTTAAGAAAAAAGGACTTATCTAGATTTAGATTTTTTGCAGTGAATTAATGGTAAATACACTTAATTTATGAAAGATAATTTTCCAGTGTGGTTACACTGCAAAAAGTTTAAATCTAAGTCATTTTTTCTTTATATAATTGCATTTTTTCTTGAATTGAGGATGTAAGTGAGACATTTTGCAAATGGAACAAGATGATTTACATTTAAAATAGGAAAAAAAACAATTCTATTGTCTTATTTCAAGTGCATATTATCTAATTCTCTTATTTTAACAGTAAAAACACGCAAATCGTCCTTTTTGCCTGCTCAAATTGAGGGTAAATTTAAGAAAACTCTGTATTTATGATCGCCAGTGTGGTCAAGCTTGGAGGCGATGTTAGCAGCTAATCCCAACAGATTATCATAGGTGGCCATTTTCATTCCAGGCATCACTTCAGGTTTTAGATCCAGACTTATTTTCTCTGAGGCACAGAACAAAAGGAGAACTTTTTTACGTGCTCTGACCTTCCGGCCTTAAAGGAAATATATCCGGTGTCTCGTTTTTTGTCCGGACCAGTTCATTGTGGTTCTTTCCAGAACAGCAGATGGTCAGTCATTTACCCCACTTACAGAAGAGCCCCCAATTGATTTTTTGATCAGGTACTGATCAATAAAATCTGCTGTGACAGTGGTTCAGTAAGAAGAGTAATGGGTTAAAATCCGACCAACTCAAGCTTCCTGATTTTCCTTTACTTGCACTTGTTTTGTTTTTTTCAGTTATTCCTGTATTCCCATCTGAGTATTGTATTTCTGTTCTTCTTCCCATTATAGCTCAAGTTCAAGCTAAATTGAATGCTGAGTATCAATTTTCAAGTTAAGCAACATTTTTCAATTGGATTTATGTCTTGACTTTGACTGGGCCATTCTAACATCCCAGCTAAACCAGGCATACACTACGATTTTTTACTCTTTTCGGGCCGATTCTCCAGTCATGTGAGAATTTTTCCATCGGGCCGACTTTCAGCATCCTCATGTGTCGTTTTTGGCTGTGACTCCATCCTGGAGAGAAATATCAGCTGTGCTGCTGCCATCAACACCTTTGTTTCTAGATGTTGGAGCT